ATCGCCCCATCTTTGCTCTCGTGTGCGCGAGCGAGCTTTTGCCATCACAGCTGAAGCGTAAGGTATGTTCTATACACGTGTGCGACGGTGAGCAAGTGCAAGTCGCGGTTGCAAAGAATTTTTTACGTTAGTTGTACAAGAGTGACTACATTCTAAGATGAATAAATTGATCACGAGCATATTATTGTTAAAGTAAAGGCCAAAACTATAAACGTCCCCAGGAGATAAACTAATTGGACGTCAGGTTTTTTCTCCCGACAAATCGTTTCCATCAGACGGGAGCTCTTTTACGCAACGCACCTGTGTCTACGTGTACTACCCCGAGACCCTTTTATCGTCGAGGGATGGTTAAATAAAAAAAAAATAATAATAATAATAATAAGAAAGAGACATCAGTTGTTTGCTACAGTCGAGTCCGCTTTTACGAAGAGAACAGCCGAGTTGGTCCCTAGTCTTTAAAGTTGCGACTCTGCAGCAGTGCCAGAGTCCCGGGGATCATTGCCTGGGGATTAAACCAGGAGAGACCAACCTGATGCGAGCGTTCGTGCGGCAAAAGGTTATAAGTGGTGCACGTACATACACGCGTACAGTGTACACGATCGAGGTAAATGTACGTGTGTATGTACACGCATTGACTTGCAAATCCGCGCGATCCAAGCGACGGAGCTTCTCCACCTCCTCATTTGCCTGTACGCGCGCGTGAATTAACTCTTTATTATCCCCGGCTATTGTGTAAGCTGCTTGTGCGCTTCACGGTTTGATTAGCGCCGCCTTTTTCTTTTTTCTCATCCGTTTCGGATTTTGTCCCTTTTTTTTTTGTTTTTTTTGTTTTTCGCTGCAAAACTATATACAGGCTTTCCCCTGGCGCTTCCTTTTCAGGAAGGGGAAAAACGTTTTGTTTTTACCGGGTGGATGGTTTTTGTCGCCGGCCGCCCTGGAGCTCTCTCGCGTCGGGCTTCATAAATTTTCGGCTGACGCGAACTTTGTCGCGAAAGAGCTGCGGGATGGGCGGTGCTCTGTTTTCGCGAGGGTCCGTGCCGCTTTTCGAAATATGCCGGGATTTTTCACCGCTGGAAAGTTTTTTCACCCCCGAGTCCCCGCGTGTGGTTTTTCCTGGATCGGGTATTTATTGTAAATTGAAAATGCCGCCCTGCACGTGTGTAGTTTCGCGCTGCGGGTACGGCAAGTGCGTATACGGTAGAGGGGATGAGAATTATAAAAAGATGTTTTTTTAATCTTTCGAGAACCCACACTTTGTGTTTGGATAAAGCGGGAAGAAAAAAAAGAAAATTCCATAATTCACGGTAGAAGCGATTCGTCGAAAAAACCCCGTGCTCTCTTCCATTTGAAACATCAATCTCGGTAAAAGCTGGCGAGAAACCGACGACTGTGTGACTCTTGTCCCCCCCTCTATTATTCCACGGCAAAGCGATTCATCTTTTTTTATTTTAATAAACACGCCGAAATGAAAAAAAAAAAAAAGGGAAAAAATGTATATTCCAGAGATACTCGAGGCGCACAAGAAGGGAAGGATAGCCTCGCTGATTGGAGTGGAGGGCGGCCACAGTCTCGGGAGCAGTCTCGCGGTCCTGCGGACCCTCTACCAGCTCGGGGTGCGCTACCTCACCCTCACCCATACCTGCAACACGCCCTGGGCTGAAAGCTCGAAGGTCGAGCAGGGAGACGAGGAAGGTAAGACAAGGGGAGCATCATTATTGTTATACTGTCGCCGTCGTCAAGCAAAGCAGGAGACTGCTTTTTACGAGGCTGCACAACAAAAACACAATTTTTTTTTTTTTTTTTTTTTTTTCATTCAATCAATGCTACTAGACGTCGAGTTTGGGAGGGTAAAATTTCGTTTAAAGGGTATTATTATAAAGTTGAAAGAGCGTATAATAATCAGTGGCACTAATGTCACGGTGAAAACATAAAATACACTATGTATACCATCATCGGGGGAAAATGAAAAACGTCGAGTGCTTCGTTAGTCCATCACTTAATGTAATTAAACTCTCATCTCCGACGTAAAATTAGTCGTTTCGTTGTTCCGTGGGGTACGTGAAAGAAAATGTATGAAAAAAAATTTTAATTTAACTTGAGAAAAAAAAAAGATTATTCAACAGACGACATTGGTCTACGATTAAACTCCATTGACTGGGAGTTTGCGTATAGTAGTGAAATCGAGTTTGTACCTCACCGCCCACCACCGCTCGACTCTTTAAAATTCGATTCGTCTCTCGGAAGCGTGAATTTTAATGCCCGAATTCATTATCCTCTCCTAAAAATAACTCTCCGATGCGGACGACGCGTGATTTTTTTTTTTTTTTAATTTCAACGCCGGTCGTAATAAATTTAAACACGCGCTACTCTCTCCATGATTTCGTTAAATAACCCACGACGTCAATCACCTCCCCCGAAAAGTGTACGATCACCGTATGCTTTATGAAACAAAAAAAGGAAAAATCTCTCCTCGGCGTGTCGACACCTCCAAACGAGTAGTCGCCGGTGATGCGTATACTTCTCGATCAAGAGAATTGGTCCGCGGCGCTAATAGAGCAGAGGAAAACTTGTGCCGCTCTTCGACTAATAATCCCCGACGACCCCGAGAGATGGAGAAACCGATGGATAGACAAACGCATCCGGGGCAGAGTCGAGGGGCTCGATCGATAAAAATTATTAGCTCGTTCGGTTCGCCGGCGCACAAAGGAAGAGCCGGGCTGTCCAAAGTCACTTACGGTACGGGGCCCTTTTGCCGATACGCACGAGCTCGAGGAGCAAAAGTAAAGTTTGCCGAGCTCTCGCCGATCCTCGATGCGCTATACGGGAGCACACGTAGCGCTTTTCCCACATACGGAAACGGAGAAAAACATCCTTTTTTACTCGTCCACGAGCGGACTCGTAAAAATTGTTTAAAATAATAAGCCGAGCGTGTTTAAAGGGACCCGGTGCTGCAACCGTCCCATGTACACCTACAATCGGAGAGAAGGACCCGTAACGTGTTTTTATATCCGCAGTTTTGGTGCGAGAGGTGTGGTGTCTCGCGAAAGGTTTCCAGCACCGGTGTATACTACGACTCGAGCTTAGCGGAACGACGCGCGTGTCGGTAAAGCCCTTTTCCTTCAGTTTTCGCCTCTCAGCGCCGGGTGTTTTATTGCCATCTGGATCCTTTAACCAGCTCCTCCCAGCTTCTCCTCGCCGAGGAATTGGATGGTTCTCGTTTTTCTCGAGGCCAACCCCCTGCCGCAGCTGCTGATACTCTTGCCCTCGCGTTTGTGCTGCGCTGATGAACTCGATCGTTTTTATTATTTTTCTTCTTCCCCCCTTCCAACGAAAATCCAAGCTCATTCTTTCCGAAAACCCGTGGCGCCAATCATTCGGTTGCCCGCGTGACAAATCGTTGTCGAGCTGTACAGTGTCTGCTCATCGGGGGCGCGCCGATGCATCGCTGAAAAATCGTTAAACTTTTCACTTTCTCGTGTATGTATTATTATGATGGACCCCACTCCCCCCCACACACACAGCCAAGCTCTTTCGACGATAAATCATACACCTCGGATTTTTCAAAGGCTTTTTCGTCTCCCGAGAAGAGCTGCTCCCCGTTACTCCGTACTTTCGATGAATCGGATGAAAGCTCGATTGTTGAATAAAAGCATACGGAAGTGGTAATGATGCTTTCGGGTGACATTACGATTGGGCACGTTGAGCGAATAACTCTTCTGATCTTCGATACACGGCGAAAACTGCGCTTCTCCGGTTGAAATGTGCATGACCAAACGCGTTTGATGTAATTTGGTCACTTTGTCCTTTGATTTTTCATCGAATTCCGTGCCGGTGTCTCTACCTCTCTTTTTCTCTGTGCTGTGTAACTAACTACTAATTAAATATGAGAAAAGTCAAAGTTAAAAGGACTTTGATGGGGGGGGGGATGCTGATGACATAAACACGGTGTAATTTTTACTTCAAAGCGTAAAGTTTGTACATATAATGTGCACTTTGGTCTCGACCATTTGATTTCTCGAGGGTATACGTACAGAGTCCACAATGCAGGTATCCATCATCAATATAATTTTACAAACACAATTTTCAACTCAACGAGGGTGGCGTATAATGGAGTCTTTTTTTTTTTTTTTTTTTTTCAATACGTATACTAAGTAATCGCTAAAATAAGCCACTTTTGCTAAAAAATTTTAAAGAACAAATTTTAACTTGAAAGATTTTTAGCAAACTTGTTAGAAAATATAATTGACATGTCATATGCTACTTCAAAATAATGTTGTTTTAATTTATGTAGTAAATTTCAATTTGTCAATTTTTTTGTCTTTTGAAGAAGTGTACTTTCTCTTAATTTATAATTTCTTCCTGAACAATATTTTTGAGATCCAAATTTTTTTTACGTACAATTTGTACAAATATCCTTTCTTTAGTTTTGCATCTCAATAACGATACGTAAAAATGTCCGTGAGAAAATGGAAGCTTTTTTAAATATATACCAACTTTATCGAAACTTTTCCCTTGAGATTTGATAATAGTCATAGCAAATGCCAAGCCTAAAGAAAATAGGTTTCTGTAAAGTATGAAAGGTAATGACGAGATATTATTTGTATTCAAAGTCATTTTGGGTAAAAATACTCTATTTCGAAGTTCTTCTTCTGTTATAGTTTCAGATTTAATATTATTCTTAAATAACTTTTTAATCTTGAATTGTGTGCCGTTGTAAAACCGTCTTATATACACAAATTTCATATTAACACAACTATTACGCTAACTTTTTAATTTAGTTCATGTGGTGGCAAATCGTCACGAATACTGTTTAATATTTCAATAGAAAAATTTATGTCAATGTTATTATCTGATTTATTAACACCTTTGTACGTGGCATGACCTATGTTTTAATAATATGTCGTATTTTCTTTCATAAGATTAAAAAATTTGATATTAAAAAAGTGTTTGCTTAGATGTNAAAAAAAAAAAAAAAAAAAAAAGGAGAAGAAGACGACGAGAAGAGTTAAAAAGAGAGACAGAGAGAGGGATATGGTTGAAGGGTCCTCGAGGTAGGACAGTGCGGTGGAGGTGGTGGTGGTATATAAGTCGCTCCGGCGGAAGCAGCGGTTCGCAGTGGTGGTGGTAGTATACGTGTAGCGATGGTGCGAACGGGGCGAGCGCGCCGGAACATGGCGGAGCAGCAGGGAAGCTGACGTGCCGCTCTCCTCTCTCTCTGTTTTTCCCTATACACTATACCACCATATAACCGTAGGGCTCCACGACCCCCATCTTGCTGGCTCCCCTGTGCGTGTATCAATTAATTGTTGCTTGTTTTTTTTTCTTTTTTTTTTTTCTTTGCACTCCACGCACTGGGTGTACGTATGTGTATACACGCGGAGGGAGGAAACGTGCATCGCTGAATGAGCCCTGTGTTCCGTCTCTTTCTGGCTCTTTTGACTGTTTACCACCAAATATACACACACTTATATTTATAGGTGCACATATATATATACCCAAGCGCTATTGTTGTTGCCGGCTTTCGCGGTGCGCGTATTACTTTGTGTGCCCCCCCCCCCAAGTGTTGTGTGTGTGTGTGTATACACTTGTAATGAGTTTTTGAAGAGACGATGATGACGGGGATAACGATGGTGGCGATGATGACGTGAGGAGAGGCTGCGCGCTGTATCGGTAGTACATCAATCCAGCCCTTGCAGCCCCAGGCCTATCATGAAGGTGAGAATTAATATAATAAATTTGTTTGGCATCTTTATCGTCTCCCTTTCGTTCCTCCTTTCCTCGTCTCTGTCGTGAAAGTGAGTAGGCTGTAAGCTGTACACAATAGGGAAACAACGTAGGGGGTGATATGGTTTATTTTTACGGCAGCTTCGCCTCAAAGGTGTTGGATCGGTGGTTTGTTTTTTTCCCCTCTTCCCCTGGCTTTCATGGGGTATCTGTGCGCGGTAGTCTTACAAGTGACAGCGATTACAGGATGGGGTGGCTAATGTTTTTACGACCTGCCGTCCCTGTTTACGTGTGTCCATTGAATGGATTAATGTTGCGTTGGGGACACATTTGTTTACTTTTGGAGGACAATAGCTTTTGTCATACCTATTGCTGTTGTACGTATATGACAGTATAAGTTCCAATCGAGTTAAAACTAGTCAATGTGTCCGAAACGCGTTTGCTTTCGAATGGTATCATTTTCGTCACTGAAAGTATAGTTGGCTCGTAGCTCAAAAGTAACAATTTGATCCACGAAATGTACGCCGTGTATGTACCACAATATCGCGCAAGTAAGTTCTATTGTGGCGAAAAGTTGTGCGTGTATATGGTTAACAATAAGAGAGCGCATTCCTTGCCCGTGCGCTGGCCGCGGAACTAACTTGTTGGGCTTCGCATATAGGTACGATGTTACTGAGAGTTTTGCTGACGAAAATAAAATTTTGTACACGTCGTAAAAATGGAGAATATACAATGTTATTGCTGTCGCGAATTGCGTTAAAAACTTATTAGTAAGTATTTTTTTTTTTTTTTTTTTTTTTTTTTTTTTTTTTTTTTTTTTTTTTTT